GGCTCATCTTGGGAAGGCCTGTTCTAAACACCTTCAGTGGAATAGGGGAGAAAACAGAATCTCTCCACAGAATCTGCTAAACTTTAAATACCACCAATTACACCCATTTATGAAGCACATTTTTTTAATTTTGTGGAATCTCATATACTATTAACTGTTCTTCATTAGAACAGCGAGTTTTGTCGGAAGAGAGAATTCCATGTGTTTCTCTAAAATAGAGTTTTGGGGGTGATATAGGCTAATGTCCAACGTGTTTTTTTGTTTTGTTTTGTTTTTTATAACTGGTCATGTTTGGAAATCCATAAATTGTGGTTTGTATGGTTTGTTTTATTGATAGCAATGCAGGTGAACAGGGCCTGTAAAATGTGTATATTGAATGGATATGAGCCTAGTGAACATGAGTCTACTACTTCTAATCACCAGCATTCACTTATAGTTCTCCATTTTCATAAAGCAGTTTTATGGGTTCAAACTTGTCTGGCTCAAAATTATACAACTAATCACATTTAGTTCTAGGTTTTCTGAGTAATTCATCTGAGCTCTTTAGCATGACACCTGGTGGCAGTCAGTCACATTGCAGGCGGTAGGAGCAGAGAAGAGTTAGGACTTTCCTGATCCTGGAAGTTCATGTGCGCTAGCTAAGGAAATAGGGCCCAAAAGATAAAGTTCCTGAGAACTTTACAGAGTGTCACATTCTGAACAAAGGCATGACTCTCAGTTCTGGAGTGGCACATTGCAAAGGTGAGGGAGCTTAGATCTGAGACCCACTTTGACATTAATTTGCTGTGATGTGACTTTCTGAACATCCCTTCTTGTCTGGCTCTAAGGCTGGGTTTCTGTACTTTCCTAGGCGGGTTGATGAATATCTGTCCTGCCTACCTCTTGATAGGATGACCTTACATAATAATGCAAAATGGTGTCATAAAAAGACTTTAGAAATAATAGTACTCAAGGGCATGGTTGATGCTTGCTGGTTGCTCCTGCTCAGTTTCTTTCTCCAGCAGTTCCTTAATGAGTGTCATTTTTCTGGACTCAGTTCTAGGTGCTTTTCTCATGTGTCTTTTTGGGAGCTCTCCTCCACTCCCACGGTTTCTGTTACGTGCACCAGCCACCCAAAAGCACCTTCTGAACTGCAGATACCTGTAAAATTCCCAAACCCTCCCTAGCCCAGTCTCAGTATGGAGTTGCATTTAAAAAAATATTGTCCAGCAAGTCAAAACAGTTGAAAAATAATACTACTCTTGTGTCTTGCAGATTATAACAGCATGTAGAGTACAGCTCAGCAATATTTCTTAAAATCTGTTCTCTCTCACATCCCCCAGTCAAGCCTCAGTCCATCCCTCTGTAATAGGCTCCAAGTTTTCCCCATACTGACCCTGAGCCTCACACAATTCTCTCCACTTTTTTTTTTTCAGTTGAACTTCTTCCCACAACCAAGATCTTTGACCCATGTTTCCTACATGTTTCTTCTTCTACTTCTTTTTTTCTCTTGTCTAGCATGAAAATAGTTCAAGAACTAGGCTGACAAAGACCAATTTTTTCCTAAGGATGAGTGAAAGGTTGCTTATTTTGGTAAAGATCCTTATTGGTCTTTGGGTAGGAGAAGAGAGGGAGGCTGGAAACATTCACATGTAAGTAATCTGTTTTCCCAGCACATGTACAGAGTAGTCTGCTTGCTGTCTGTATACTTCATGAAGCACCTCTTTCTCAGCCTAAAACTTGACCTTATTATGGTCCACCCGCACTTGCTTCTTTTCCAGTATCCCTTATCTGTATGAAAAGCACCCATCAAAAGAGTGGCTTACTTTGGACATCTGAACATCATCCCTGAATTCTTTCTGTCCTCATCCTTCACATTCCATCCAAATTATCTTTAGCCCAAGTACAAATTACATACTTCTAGGATCTCTCCTCTTTATTCCACTCTAATGCTGTCATTACTCATTGCCCCCTTGCAATCAGTTTTCTCTACTCCAACCAAAGGGATGCTTTAACACATGAATCTGATTGTGACTTTTCCTCCTTCACGTTACTCAAAGTCTTCTTAGTACCAAACCCTTAATATTAATATAGCTTTTGCAATTCTGAATTCTGGTTGGTCCCTGCCCATGTCTCCACAGGATGCATTTCTTCCTGCCTGAAGCTTTTGTCTCGGCTGGTTTGATTGTCTAAATATATCTCACCTTCCACACTCCCACCTAGCTTAGCTTCCTCATTCTCCTGATCTTGCTTTAAATATAGCCTCATGCAAGGCTTTTTTTGATTTCTTCCTCCTGTCCTTTTGTCACTCATGTCCCCCACACTTCCCCTTGAGTATGACCCATCACATTGGAAATGTAATTACTTTCTCAAACACATTTTTTCCTCAGCAAATCCTAAGGTCAGCGGGCATGTCCTCCTCTTGTTAGAGCACTCTGTCCCCAGCTCAGGTCAGGAATTCAATGGATGCTCGCTGCTAAATGGATGCTACTTCTATGATCTGTGCCCTGTATGCCTCTCCCAATTTATTTCTACACATATATTGCTTCAAACTTTCTGTGCAGCCTTTGAGAAACCCCGTGTCATTTTATATTTTTGTAAGCTCATGCTCTTTTCTGCAGAATTGTCTGCCCAGCCTTTCCTTTCTATCACCTAATCATCGTCAGCATGCAGCAATGTCAGCATCAAACGGTAGGATGCAGTGTGTAGCTGTGCTGTAACCCTTCCCATGTTACTTTGAATTTTTTATTTGGCTGCATTTTTTTTTGAGTGGGCTTTTTGTGTTTCTTCCTTTAGGGAAGGGACCTCATTTTATTTATGCATTATTTTGATAATCCCAGCACTTAACACAGGTCAAACTGAAATACTACTGATATTATGAACTACTTTCTGTATGCTATGCACATTTCATGTGCTTTTTTCTATTAACTCATTGAGTTTTCCCAACTTCCATGGAATAGTTACTTTTTAAAAAATATATATTTTATTGATTTTTTACAGAGAGGAAGAGAGAGGGATAGAGAGTTAGAAACATTCATGAGAGAGAAACATCGATCAGCTGCCTCTTGCACACCCCCTACCAAAGTACATGCCCTTGACCAGAATTGAACCTGGGATCTTTCAGTCTGCAGGCCAACGCTCTATCCAAATCAGTTTCGGCAAGAGTTACTTTTATTCTTTCTATTATATAGATGAGGAACTGGAGACCCAGGAAGGTTAAGTTGTCAAGACTTAACCAGCTGGTATAGGCCAAGCCTGGAAAGTAAACCCACTGATTTCAGGGCCTGCCCTGAGCTGTGGTGGTCAGTCAGTGGAGTCTAGTACTTTCAAAAGTGGGTTCTGGAATCTCACTCTCTGTTGTGAATTCTAGTTCTTCCACTTTACTTACTCAATTGTGAGACTTATATCCTTTAAAGGGATGTTCTGAGGATTAGATAAAATAATTAGTTTATGTGAAGTATCTAATGGATTGTAAGTAGTTATAACAGTGCTAAGTCAATGTGAGCATTCATTAGACAGATTCTGTAGGATTCTTTCCAACTCTTAATCAAAGTAAATAAATATATTTAAAATAGGTGAAATTGGAGACAGTTGTCACCTCAGGAGGGAGTTGAATCCACGGACTACATACCAAGAAGTCTAAAACACTAGATAGAGGTGGGCCTCTCTGAGTGCCTATATAGAGCAGGACATAAGGGAGCAATGTGATTTATAGTGCCAATAAACAAACACAAATCAGTTACCGAGAAGCATAACTATTGCAGTTCCAGAGATAAGAGAGAAGTGTCTCTCATCCAGAGTGTGGGAAATGGTACCTTCAACAGCCCCTATTGGAAAACACAACCACAGATTTCTTAATGCAGCTTCACTACAAGCTATTTTTGGGCCTCATGCAAACCAGTTCATTAAAAATCATTCTAGATGTGTCTGTTATGCAATCCACTGATGTTCTGGTTTAATCTAGGGATCAATTTATAGTATCTACAAATACTTTTTCTTAGTGAATCCTGATTTCCCACCCCCCCCCAAACTACTGGTGAGTATTGATTAGCTATTAGTTTTAGATTAAAAATCGAAAGTGCCACTGGGAAGTGAGTTAGATAATGGCCAGCAAGGCCAAGATTTTCTTTAAGAAATGATTTTTGGATTGGCTCAAAATTGTGGCCCATAGAACTGCAATTTTATAGATGCATGTTGAACATCAGGATCACCTGGAGGATTTTGAAAAGACAGGCTCATCTCCCAACTCTGTAGTCATCAGAGGTGGGGAGGGGAGGAAATCTTTCAAACAAAACAAAACAAAAACAACATATAAATGATTCTAGTGATCAATGAAGTTGGAGAACTACTACCATAGATTATGCTGCATTGATTTTAGCTAGAAGAAAATTTAAAGGAGGTATAACCAAATATATGTAAACCATAAAAACTGTCTTGTTTTATGGTTAAAGGTCATCTGTTTTTTAAAACTGCAAATTCCCGAACTACTGTCCATAATAAACTATTTCTGAAATATACACCTAGACAATCAAATGAGGTGATTTAATGTATGGATTTCTTATTAATAAATCAATTAAGAGTTTTGGTGTATCTTCTGGAAATGATGACTTTGAATAGTGACTATGTATTCGTTAATAATTTTTTTTTTATTCTCAGCATTGTCTGATTACATTTCCATGTAAGACTAAAAATATTTCAATAATTAGATTCAGTCCAGAGAGCATTTTCCCATTTTTATATCTTAAAAAATTATAAAGCATACTTTGATGCATTCTAAAGTTATGTGAGATCTCTAGAGGCACTCCGATAATATGAAAAATGATACTCAGATTGGTATCTCGCATACATCTTTACTTATCTGTAGTAGTCACCAGTTACAAAGAGAATTTTTAAATATGTGGTGGACCTTTGTCTAAAGTAGAGCACCACACTGGATGTGTCTTAACCTCGCATGAATATTTATAACAATAGACGGAATCTTGAGAAAGTGTCTTATGCTTACTTTTCGTTGTTCCTTGCAGGCATTGCTTCTATGACAGTGCCAGTGTACATTGCTGAGGTCTCACCACCCGACTTACGAGGCCGGTTAGTCACCATTAACACCCTCTTCATCACAGGAGGCCAGTTCTTTGCAAGTGTTGTTGACGGAGCCTTCAGTTATCTCCAGAAAGATGGATGGAGGTCTGTAAACAGTTCTTACAGTTAATTTTTCAAATAAATCATGATGTTAGGGAATGGGAGGACATTGAGAAATGAGAGGAAAAATATAACGGAGTATTTTGAATCGTTATAGCGAATTTCTAAGTGGGTGGCATTCAGCAAAATTGAAAGTGGACAAGAAGTTGATATTTATTTTAATGACAGACAAAGAACCTACCATTGAGAATTGATATTTACAGAGTTTTTCTTAGCATTAGGTGACATTTCTCACACTGTGTGTAAACTTTTGCAATCTTGGTTTAAAAGTGAATGCAGCAATAAGTATGCATAGAGTTCTTGATGGTATCAGTGATTAACAAGCTGTATATGAACTGAAGATAAAGCTAATGTCCTTTGGATTTAGGAGGCTATACATTCTGATTTGAATGAAAGAGAAAACGTAGTCTTTAAAGCTATAGATTTAGCTCTACTATATAAAAGATTATATATATATATATATATTTATTTAAAAGATACAACTTATCTTTTTTTATCACAGTTTGGTTGATTTTTAATCAAAAGAGATGAGAAAAATGTTTTTAAAACTGCTTTAAATATATTCAAATTGAATAGTGTAAAAACAAACTAATTTTAAGCTTAAAGATAATATAGGCTCTAAATTTTGATACCATAGTATTCAAAACAACAAATTCATGTAAGTGTTCCAGGGAGATTTTATTAAAAGGCATAATAGGCTGCACAAAATTATACAGTTATCAATCATCTAATCAGTATAGGTCCAGGGAATAAAATATTGAGCAAGTCATACTCTATTATAGTACTTATTTTCATGGTGATTACAATATTGAAGTTAATTCTTTTTTAATAAAATGTTTATTTATTGATTTTAGAAAGAGGAAGGCTGAGGGGAGTGGGGAGAAAGAAAGAAACATCAGTTTGCTATTCCACTTATTTTTAAAAAAATACATTTTATTGATTTTTTACGGAGAGGAAGGGAGAGAGATAGAGAGTTAGAAACATCGATCAGCTGCCTCCTGCACACCCCCCAACTGGGATGTGCCCGCAACCAAGGTACATACCCTTGACTGGAATCAAACCTCAGACCCTTCAGTCTGCAGGCTGATGCCCTATCCACTGAGCCAAACCGGTTTTGGCATATTCCACTTGTTTATACACTCATTGGTTGCTTCTTGTATGTGCCCTGACCTGCAACCTTTTATTGGGATGACACTCTCACCAACTGAGCTACCCAGCCAGGGCTTGAAGTTAATTCTTAACAGCTTATGAAAAATAATTAAATTCATTGTGGATGTAGGGAATTAAACTTGTATGTAAGCAGCACAATGAATCACATGGCTTAGGATGAGCCTTTAAACACTTAGACTGAAATTTTATTAAAAGTCACCTGAGAAAACTCATTGAAGCCAATTAGGGCCTACATTTGTCAGGACATTAAAGAGAAGACACAGTTCTTAAGGAGCATTAGCTCTGCCTGCCTCTGTTGCTCAACTGCTTTCTGCCTTTCTCTGCCAAAGTGAGAAATAACTGGGAAAATTAAGAAGCAGAAAATTTCATCTTCCCCACCACTCACTCTGTAGATGAACTGGAAGAGGGAGAAGATAACTTAGAGCATAACCTCATATTTTGAGTTTTTCTTGGAAGCTCAGTGGAAGTCATTTAGTCTACATGTCTTTAAGAGCTAAACCATCTGTTTACATTTGGTTTAAAATTTATTAATGTTAACTAATATAGAAATACACATATACTATTACTAAAAATCTGTTTTTAAATGCAAATCCAAAGAGTATAACCCATGTTTTTGAGTTAAGTATAGCAGTTTAGATACTTGTTTCCTTAGTATTGGCTAGGAAAGAGAAAGATTTTCCAGTAGTGAAGCTAACCTATGACTGTGGTGTGTGTGTGCGTGTGTGTGTGTGTGTGTGTGTGTGTGTGTGTGTAAGTGGAGGTGTTGGGACAGATATCATTAGTTAGGACACTATTCAGGGGGAAGGTGACATGGTTATAGCCATACCTAGATTCCTATTTGTTTTCTTCTACTCATTGCCTAGGATCCTTAGACAAATTACTTAGCTCCCCTGATCTTCACATTGTCAGTGTAAAAAATGGGACCAAAAACACTGGTCTTGTAAGATTGTCCTGGGATCTAAATTAAATTAATTATCCTATATAATAAAAGCCTAATATGTGAAGTGTCCAACCATTCATTCGACTGTTTGACCAGTCACTATGATGTGTACTGACCACCAGGAAGCGATGCTCTGACTGGTAAGTTAACTTGCTGCTGGGGTCCAGCCTACTGGGCTAGATGGGCCAGACATGCCCTGGAGCCCACCCCCTTATGGTCCCTCCCTGGCCTGACAACCTCCATGGTCCCTCCCCAGCTGGCTGGCCCCAATCGAGACTAGGCAATACGGGCCAGACATGCTCTGGAGCCTTCCTGTGGACCCTCCCCAACACCTATCCTGCACCAGTGGGGTCCCTTGACCTGGCCTGTGGGAATCAGGCTGAAACTGGCTCTCTGACATCCCCTGAGGCATCCTAGATTGTGAGGGCACCGGCCAGGCTGAGGGAACCCATCAATGCAAATTCACACACTGGGCCTTTAGTTATATATAAAGTACTCAGCCCAGTGTTTAGCACATGGAAAATACTCCATCAATAATGAATCACATTATTATTTACTATTCTAAAGAGTGAAAAAGGGGTGAGTGCTGCTACAGGTAAGTTGTAAGGTAGGTTGAAGGAAAAGTCATACTATGGCCTATGTGTGTATTTGTTTTTTATCAGTAAAGATGGATCTTGGAGTTGATAGATGTATAGCTCTAGAGAAAAAATTTTACTGCTTATAGCTACTGTAGAAAGTATAAGAAGGAAGAACCTAGAGACAGAAACGGTTTTTTCAAATGACGGGGGGATCCCAGCTGAAGTTGAAGCCATATTGTTTGTAGTAAAGCCAAATAGTATACCTGTGTGAATTTTTTCCATAATACTGGAGGCCAGGGGTAAAACAATAAAATGAGGATGGGACACCTAACTTCAGCTTGTATTCAGACTATTGCACACACCAGGTCACTTGTACCCACTTAATTGTTTGCATGAATACACATTAACTTATGCATACATGTAAACATGTTTCCTTATTATACAGGTGAATTTTTTGTGTTGTTCTCTTTTACTATTTAGCATCCTTAGCTATGTTCACCTTATTTGACTCCTGGGCTAATAGGAGTGTGGTTACAAGCAAATAAATATTGAAGTAATACCTTAGCATCAACTTGAAAATTTTCAACAATTATACCTAAAAAATAATTATTGATAATTTTTACAGTAGCAATCAGATTAAGACATACAGAAGATCAAACTGATTAATCAGCTTCTTAGACTTTGATGGTGTTGAAAGACTAACTCACCTTTTGTACCAGATGGGTCAAAAGCTTCTTTTTTCTTATTGTTTGGATGTCATAAAAATAAATTGTTTTTTGCCAAACTGGAAGATTAGTTTTCTCTGAAAAAAAAATAAATGAAGTGCCTGTAGTTGGTTTTAGCACTCCAGTTTTATAATGCATTTTATGCTGGGAAGGATGTCATCTGGTTTCATGAAGAAAGGGGGTACATTTTTTGAAGATATACATTTTAAAGATTAGATTTTTAAAAATAACTATATTGAAATGTAAATCAGATACCATCAGTTCACCCACTTAAAGTATACAATTCAATGCCAATACAATTCTCAGGTCAGGGCTGCGTAGTCATCACTATTTTCAAATTGAGATCATTTTCATTACCCCAAAAAGATAGGTCAGGGCGGGTTTTCTTTTTTTAATTGCTGAGGTAAAACCTTGCATGTAACAGCCCCTCAATAAATATATGTTAAAGTGAATTTAACAGCCACCACAGTAGTCTAAAACACTTAGCTGGGCCACTGCTAAATGCTTTACACCCCCCTCCCAACACCCATTTTCTACAGAAAAAACAACAGTTAAGTTCTTTATCATGACTTATAGTGTAATGCATTATCCAATGCATACCTGCTTTTCTAGTTTTTGTAACTCATCATTGCTTCCCTCCCTTCTTCATATGACAACCATGCCGATATACTCTATACGAGTATACCAATCACACCATGCTTTCTCGTGTTTCTGCGTGTTTTTTCTTCTTCTTCTTCTGTTCATTTTACCTATAAGGTCTTCCTACCCTATCCTGGTTTACTGGTCCAATTTCTTTTCCTTCTTTAAATCTTTGCTTCTCTATCATGTGAAGCTGTCTTTGGTCCTTTGTTCTTTCATAAGACTTTGTAGATAGCTTTGATTTTATATCTACCATTTTATTTTGAACTAGTTATTGTTTTGGAGCTCCTGAATGTCATTAACGGTATGCTCATTTTTAAATTTAAGAAAGGATCTGGAACATAGCAAATATTCAATAAATGTTATGGAACTGAGCTGAATTGATTGGGCTCCAGGGAAAGGACTCTTAACCAAAGTAAAAAGACATTAATTATAAACTAAAATGCCAATTCACTAATTTATGCTGTGGAATATGTACACTTCATAGATAGCTAAAAAACTAAATTATTAATCCTAAGTGTTTCTGACTGAGCATAAAAATAAGAGAAAGAAAATTAGTTTCTGAGTCCAGGAACATTTCTGTTTTTCAAAACAATACCGTTCTGGGTCCCAGGAGACTTTTTGTCCTTCTCCCTTGCACAGACCTGGTTTTCAAATAAGTATTCCTATATTTATAATTACGCAAACCATAATGTGGTTTATATGAATAAGAATGGTATATCTATAGAGGGGCTAATTTTTTCCTTTCATATTAATTTTTTACTCTTTTTTCCTCATTTAATTTTTTAAAAACTAGAGTTCTCTTATTCCACCTTACTAGCCTATGTATAACCAATTGTTAAGTGTCTGAATGTGTTAGATATTGTCATCATTTATGTAATACTTTTTGATTTTTGCTAATGAAGTAAAATTTGAGAAGCACAAAGTATGCGT